TCTGGGAAAGATGCAGCTGTTAAAAATCAGTTTGGTTTGTATATTTCTGTATTTTGCTGTTAATTAGAGCATTTCTCAGCTACCAGTAAATTACTCCTCTGTAAAGGAAATACTATTTATTGATGTTGTGTTGATGATTATGTTTTTTCTGTTGTGTTGTCAGTCATTACACAGGTAACAGAATTTATGTTAGAGACTTTGTCACACAAAGTGGTATCATTTATCGCATTGAGGATCAAGGTGATTATAAATGTACGGTTTATAAGCCACAGGGATTTGGAGGTCGTGTAGTGACCCTGGTGGTGATAGATGGGAATAACAGTAAAGAGATCCAAGAAGTAGAAAAAATAGGAAAATCAACAACAGTAACATCAACACTTCAGCCTGATGCAAGAGCAGTAAGAAGCAGTTCTACTCTTGTATCGTCAACAGTCTCTAAAGTATAAATGTAAGACATTTGACTACAGTGGCGCCTCAGATGATTTCGCCAACGTCATTGTCTACTGTGGTTAAGGTTAAGTTTGGAGGTTCGGCATATCTTCCTTGTAAATGTGAGAGATGGAATACGGGTGGTAATATGCCTCTCAAGTGGATAAATTGTTGCGGTAAAGATGTGTTGTTTTCAGGACCGGAGGGTGTACCCCCTAGTCAAAGAAAGTATTCTTTGTTTAATGATGTGAGGCGGTGGAAAATTGTGATTGTTCACTTGTTTAGCGTAATGCTACCTGGGAAGACCTAGGGGAATATAGTTGTGCTTATTTAGAGCCAGATTTTAAACTTGTTCCATTTCAAAATCATTGGATATGAGGTTATGTGAACCATAAGGTGACGCTTATGATGAAAGATTTAGAGCCTGTTGAAGTATCAACAGTCACCAAAGGAGTTCAGGAGCAATATACTACAGTAGTCACTCCAAGAGTGAATAATACACAGAGGACATTTGTCATTTGGCCCTTGGAAATAACTAAAAGAGTAAATACATCAACTAAGGCAATTGTTTTGGCAGAAACCTTGGAAGAAAGGGATGTTACAACGGCAATAACAACCATTGTAAATATGACACAGACACCGACTACAACTTTTCGGGAAGTTAAGGATTTGGTAGACGTAACTCAGAAGCCTGCGTTACAGAGGCAGCCTGGGGAGTAAAGAATGCAAGAAAATGATGAAGATTAATCTGAAACCGTTCAGAATATTATCCCACATGTACAAAATGAGTTCTTTACTTTTGATAAAACACCAGAAGATATGACTGATCAATATTGCTCGTTACGGGAGAGAGAAGCTACATGGAAGGCATATGGGTTTGATTCTTCTGTTTTGAAAATTACAGATGGCTGGGCAGGTAGGAATTTATGGTTCCAGCAGTTAACTCATTCAACCCAACCTCTATCTGTTATGTGTCAATCTTATGCTTTATCATGGCTGTTGTATCAGCAACAATCGTCAACAGATATAGTGATGTCTTGGTCGTCACAGTTGTTTAGACCTAGACTTAATTGTTCTTGGATAAATGAATTACCCTGTGTGAATTTGTCAGATCAGAAGGAAAATAAGTTAACAGCAAGTCCTGAAGCAATGGAGGTAAGACCTGTGAGGGCTAGTAGCTGTTTTGTTCAAATAAGATGTATGAGGGGCCAGGGATGCTTATGGGAATATCAAGTGTGATGATTATATGATGTCTTTGGATAAGCATGACTGTAAGGTTAGTGAAAACACATATGAAGTAACTTTTGCTGTGCCATCTAGTAAGAAGGGAAGGACTTTGATGGTAAGAGATCAGCTTTTGCCTGGCAATGTGACTATAGGGAATTTTCAAGATATTTGGTGGATTTGTGGTGATAAGGTCTATATATTTTTACCTTATGGATGGATAGGATGTTGTTATATGGCGACGCTAAAACTTTCATATGAGGTGTTTACAATCCAAAAAGGGGAAACGCTTGATATAGCTCATTCTGATCCTGGTTCTGGAAATAGGGTGAAAAGGAGCATCATTCATAATCTTGAATCCTACCATTGGAGGATAAGTCTAGGCGAGAAGTGGGGACTTGGACTTTTTCCACGGTATGGTGTAACATTTTTGGCAGATCACATTGATAATATTATTTATACTTTGCAGGGTTTTGCAAATTAAACTACAGAGGGTTTAATCTTCTGTCAAATACTCAAAGAAGTCACAGACTGACATTGTTGAAACATGACATGGCTCTTGACTATATTTTAGCCAAACAAGGTGGTTTGTGTGTGGCTATGAACTTGACGGGGGACGGTTGTTATACTTTGATCCCCGATAGTTCTGATAATATCACTAGTGTTATAGATGCATTAAAGAGTATAAGGGATGCGTTTGGTCAATCTGAGGGAGCTGGATGGTCAGCAAATGCTTAGTTCCAAAATCAGTTAGGACCAGTGGGAGCAGTGGTGGTTCAGATTTTGGTAACAGCCTTTGTAGCGCTGTGTTTGATGTTTTGCTTTTGTACGGTGCTATTGACTTTTTGCAAAAGCTATGATATTGAGATGGGTTGGAGTAATAATGCCTAGGGAGAACACTTAGATGCCTTTGTTAACTATGGCTGATTTAGATGGAGATGATGAAGTGGAACCAGATGAAGTAATGATGGAAAGATATCCATTTTAATGTTACTTTGTATTTCCATACATTGAGGTTTTAATTTTCATGTGTTATTTGGCAACAAGATACTGGTTGGTGTTTTCTTTTCTTCCAGAGTATATGGGGATGTACAGATGGGGATACAGATACTCAAACAAGGACAATATGAATGGACTCTGGACAAGGACGGTGTGGAAACGTCTGGATTGTATCGACACTACACTGGAAGTCGACACTGCTGAGGAGCTGCAGTGGAATAACTTCCTATGTCTGCTTTGATATAGATATGAATACATATTTGAATGAATAATACATAATTAACTATCATATTCTTTTAGTGTTAACTGTGTAAAGACTTATACTTTCAGTTATGGGTTAATATATGGGGACCTCAGGTTTTTCTTTTTTTCTTGATGCTTAGGGATATAGGGTCTAGGCAGGGAAAGGTCCGTTGGAGGGTCCGATGGGTTGACTAGCCTGAATTCGGACGTAGTTTTGATTTTATTTCATTTCCTGAGGTCTTCACATGTATTGGCTAAGCCATATCTCTGTATAGACTGATAAAGATATCTTTTATTAATTAAGGGGCAGAGGGGCCGTGAGAAAATTTTCCTGTCTAGGTTGTCTTGAAGGGCATTTTGGAATGAAGGCTGCCGGACAGGTTTTTCGTTCTCACACTCCATACAGGTGATATATTGTTAAAAATGATTGCAAGAATCATGTGTTGGAGAAATTGTTCTCTTTTTGTTTTTCGAGACTCAATTAAGTCTCGCAGGGGGGAATATGTGGTGTACAATATATGTGCATTTGACGCATAACAGTTTAAAATAGCACTGTAGCAGCAGGACAGAGGGTCAGTGACCTCCCAAGGGGAGAGCAGTGATTGGTGGTTATGTAGGGAGTGAACCCTTCTATAGAATTTTAAACACACCCTATATAAGCGATGTTTTCATGTACAGAAAGACAGAGTGGCCATCGGGCTGGGACACTCTCCAAGCTGCTGCAGAGCTTGTAATTGATGCTGAACTCCTTGATGTAATAAACTTTTATGATCAAGAACAGTGTCAAGCGGATTTCTTCTCAACACATCATCGCAGCATTATTGTTCGGACACCACACTGACGTGTGTAGAGGTCTATCTGGTTATACTGTAGTAGCCTGTTGTTGATTAGACGATTAAATGTAGGGAAACAGTTAAAGGTTGTGCGTAATGGCACTGCTCTCTGGCGCGCAACTTCTCCGTGGCTGCAAATTAGATCAGTCCTGCTGGCTTCAGATGCTGCAGGGATTTCATGAACTGATGGAGAAGCTTTTCGTACAATAAAATTCTGTGGTTGTAGTGCAGTTATAGCAACAGTGAAACCTATGCCATTGGTTATGCTAATGTCCATTCAAGAAGCCGAAGGCTAAAAACGGGGCAAGATTTGTGATTTGTGTAAGGGTTAGCACAAGTGCCTCAGAAATCAAAACAATAATTAGTAACTTGGGTTCTATACAGACTACACATACAGTACATAACATGTATGTGTCAGTGCATTTCAAATTTCTCATGTGGTGTCACATATTTGAAATAAAAGAACTAGAGCATTTCAAATTTGGACTGACTGGAGTATTAGGACAGTTGAAATGCAAAGTTACAATGCCCACTTTCTTGCAAAATCATAGCTCACCAGTAGCATCTTGTTGTGTATATATGATTAATGATAGCCTACACTAACTTTTCTTGTAACACATGCTCACAGGATGGATGATCTTAGTGACTTTTTGAGACAGAGAAATGTTTCTGAGTAGACAATAAATACACCGGAGCATGAAAAGGTACTTAAGTTCAAAAGCAAAATATTTTAGTCAAACAAATGTTCTTTTCATGGAGACATTTTCAGTCTTTTCTTCAAAACATACCTTGCAAACCAAATATGCCTAGCAGTGTTTGGATTTTGTAGGCGGAAGGAAAACACTCGAAAATTGAAGCTTTTTGAGCGCCTGAAGACAAAATTGGCCAAAAGAAAACCTTGTGATAAAGCAGCGAGCAGCCCAGACCAAGAGGAGCATGCCCAAAAAAAAAATGCTTTGAAGACAGTGAGAAAATTAGAAATTGGATGGATGCATTATGATAGTGAAAAAGAGGCTTTCAAGCAAGTGAGAGCTAAACGAGGAGGGGGGATACGAAAAATCAACATCTCAAAGGATGCTCAGAAAAAAGATTTGATACAGGAAGCAATTAGCCTGTTTTTTCCAGATGGGAGAAATATTCAGGGACACATAACAGATTTGAGTTAGATCTCAAAGATTATCAAGAGGTAACAGTTGACAATGTAATCACATCACAGTTGGACAATTGTACACTGACACAAAACTTGCTCTTCTTAGGTTTTATTTAACCACACAAAGAAAAAAAGACAGTCCACACAGTCACAGCGCAGGTTTGGCTCCATCTTTGGAGAGACAAGAAACCTCTCAGAATCAGCCTTCCACTTCTCCTCTCAGTGTTGTTACAGCACAGCCACCTGCTACATTTGAAACAGTTAGCCCTGATGTGATATTTCTTGGGAACACTATAAGTGATGACAATTTTGAATTTTCACTATATTCTTCAGAGGGTGTGAGTGATGATGTTTTTGAGAGTAGCAATGTTTTTATAGGAGACTTTTCTGAAAACAATGAACACCCACCAGAAGGACATTCAAAAGTATCTCACCACATACTTGAGGAATGCTGATTTGCAGCATCTGTGTTTGTTCCTCAGGTTCAGTACAGGATCAGATCTCTGCCTGGGGAAGAATATCATTTTTGCATTTACCCAGACTCAAGGTTTTCAGAGATGACCTGTGGCCCACACATGTGGCTGTGTGCTGGAGCTGTCAGTCCATTATGACAGCTATCCTGACTTCAGTTCTGAGATGAACAAGGTGCTGGAGTCTAATGTGTGGGTAATGGACATCATATAATCTAGTCCAGGGAGTATGTGTGTGTTTATTGCTTTTCACACACAATTTCAGTTTCACAATATTAATCGTTTTATTTCCCTGTATAATGTCAGTGACAAAGCATCCTCATGTCAAACCTTGCAAAAGATTGAAACAGATAGCTCTACACAGTAATGGCAATGTATTCGTAGTTGATACCTAGATTTGTTAAGGATAACACCATAGGACATAATAGTATCACCCTATTGAGACCAAGGAGGGCAACGATGTACATTTAAATAACTTTTGTTGGCACAGAATCTTGTCTATCAAGGTCTATGAAAACAATGTGTTTAGCGTTTGTTTTTGAGCTAAGCAACTGTTAATACTACCAAAGTAACATATTTGCTGGTATTAGTTAATGTCACTCAAGGTTAAGATCTAATGACGCTGTAAATGGCAGACTGACCATTGTAAGATTTTTTGAAGTATACATGCCAAAAGTAAGCATAGTCAAGGTGTAAAGATCTAATAATGTTCATAAGTAGAAGAAAGAGTGATTCTACAATTTCTACAGTGTTATCTTGCTCTGGAAGAATGTACACAACACGTTATGAAAAGTGCACCATCACATCTCCACTGTGGTAGTACTTGCTGCTTGGCTACTGCAGCGAATTATAGTGTATTTTTCAGGAGTTAACGATCCGCTTTGCATTAACTGTTTGAAACCAGACCAATGTAAACTAACCTGCTTTATGCTTGACACAAGTTCTGTTGTAACATTTGTTTTTATACAATGTTATGTTATATGTTTTTGAATGTTCAACTCTCAGGGTAAGTCACTCAGAACAACCATCTTGTCTTGGTATTTCTAGGCAAAATCATCAGACATATCAGTTTACACACAAAACCTACAGCAACATAATTTTCTCATTAGCGTATACAGTAGCATACATTTGTTGTTAGGTACAAAATAATCTTATTTGTTACACATAAGAGCAAAAGGGAAACATAGGAATATGTTTTAGAATCATTACAAAAAAACTCACAATTCCTCCAAGTGAAATTGATGACTGTATGCCTTTTTTTGTTTGCATGAGAAATTGCCATGTTACCATATTATTGCTGTACCTGTTACCATTACAACGTTACCACGTGTGTGTCATGTTCTTTCATTGACAACATATTGAACAATGCAGTACTGTACTGTTACTGTGTATATGGTGCACACTATTACAGATGCATCTCTACATACAGGACATGTGGAAGGCAATCTAGCACTCTGGCAAAAAACAATTGAAGCAATTGAAAGTAAGATACTTTGTTGGGTTGTATAAGGCTATATAGACAGAGGGCTACAAAAACATCCTATAATTCTAATTTTCATTTCATTTAAAGAAGTGTCACTTTTGTACCCACCATAAATTCCTGTATTTCAGATGTTGTGAAATAAACAATTCAGGGCATATTTATGTAATAATAATAATAATAATAATAATAATAATAATAATAATAATAATAATAATAATAATCTTTATTTGGAGGCACTTTTCAAAAAAATATAGGCTACTGTGGTAGGCCTATTTAGCTTTTTCTCAAAGCACATACTTTATTCCTCCAGCCCATCTATAATCATTTGACGAAGTCTTAAATAAAGGTCAGTAACTTCATACACATCATCAGACATTGCCAAGTTGTGCTCAGCCATAAGTTCCATACATAAGTGAAACACATCCTCATCACAGGGATAGTCATTAAAACAACTGTCCTTGCGACATATTTCTACCTTCACTTTATCAGCTGGCTGCAAGAAATTCTGAGCCCCCTAAAGGTTGGGAACTGCATACATTATGGAAGGGCGACCGTGAGGAGACCGAGGATTGTGGGTTGTTCTTATGCGATGGTCATTCCAGGCAGTTACAACTGCATCAAGCTCCTCCTATACAACCGACAGAAAAAGAGTGAAAACGTTTGTTAGAAAGTAATTTGTGTGCCGTATCTCTCACAGTTCTGTATTGACAAGTAATAGATATTTAGGATTCTGTACCTGTATTATAGTTTGGAAGTGGATCAGTGATTTATCAATGAAGCTGTCAACAAAATGGCCATCTGCTCTCAGCTGGTCGAAATGGTCCATCCAAAACTGGGTGCATTCTGTCCTCAAGGTGCACCACCAACGTCCAATCCTTTGATTGCCAGTACTTGGACCTAAAGTGACACACTGTGTACCGTTCTCATCCTCACTGTTGTGCAGAAACTTCTGCATTACTGCAACATGGGTATTCTCAGTACCATGATCTAACCTGACTTTTTGTGGACATTCATTGTTTTTGGTCACAGCATCTATAAAATAACCTGCAATAATACGAGGGTCATTGTTGGTTTTGTATGCTTCTAGCCATATCATTTTCCTTGAGAAGCCATCTATGCAACCACTGATACATATGCCATAAGGCTTTAATTTGTCATACCCATCTACACGCCATACATAGTTTGGCCCACAACTGACATACATACGCCGTCTCAAACGGTTGCGAGCACGCAGATCTACCCCATTCTCGTCTATCAGTCGCATCAGTTGACGCACAGTTTCTCTGTCGGTAATTATCCCGGCCATCCAACATTTCTGGTGCATCCATCTGTAGCCATGCTGTTTGCCGGATGTTTGTAGTTGTTGGTCAATAGAGGATGCCACTTCAACTTCATCTGTCTTATTTTTTCTCCGCCAAAGCTGGTTCTTTTGCAGCTTTCTCTCTAGGGTCCAGAGGCTTAGTTTAATATCATGGGATTCCTCCAAAACCACTAAAATTTCATGATTTGTAAATCCACGTCTAAAGTAGTTTTCAATTATGGTATCCATTTGGGTCTATTAAGCTTTGTCTCACCCTCTTGCTTCTGTTGCTTTGGCGCATGTGAGAAAGCAGCACAGAGGCCCTATGCAAATTCCGAGTTTTCTCAATATTTTGAGGTACTAACTCATTAAATTGAGATACTAACTCATTATATTGAGATACTAACTCATTATATTGAGATACTAACTCATTATTTTGAGATGCTAAGTCAAAATGTTGAGAATGTTTCTCATTATTTTGAGAAACTAAGTCAATATTTTGAGAATGTTTCTCATTATTTTGAGATACTACGTCAATATTTTGAGATACTAACTCATTATTTTGAGATACTAAGTCAATATTTTGAGATACTAACTCATTATTTTGAGATACTGGATCTTTTTTTTTTCATCTATGTTGCGGAAACGGGCTTCCATAGGACAGTTGAATAAATAATAACTAGAAATAAAACAATTTTTTCATGGTGCAGTGCTGAGGATGAATTAGGAGTCTCACAGCCTGAGAGAAGAAGGTGCTCTGGAGTCTGGAGGTGCAACAGGAGATTCTTCTGTGTTTCTTGCCAGACAGCAGCAGGGTTAACTGGCTGTGGCTATAGGATCCTTAGGGCTCTGTACAGGCACCTCACCTCGCCAAAAGCACTGATGACCAGTAGATGGGTACCAATGATCTTCTGAGCAGTTTTAATCACCTGCTGCAGAGTCCTCCTGTCCAGGGCCGTGCACATGCCAGTTTGATGTTTCTATTGCTCCTCTGAGAATGTTTTTAATCAATTATTTTTTGGGTAATTATGCCTTTATTGTCGATCATACAGTGAAAAGAGACAGGAAATGCAAAAGAGAGAGAGAGTGTCATGTCAAAAGAGCCAGGCCACACCTGTTCAGATTTGAACCCAAGCCACAGTGCTAAGTCCTCATAGTCTTTGTATATGGTAAACGTGCTCTACTAGGTGAGCTAACTGACACGCTGGCTCCTCTCTTAAAGATCTTGGCACTGGAACTTTTTTTTCTTTACCAGCGTGAAGATGTGAGATGACTATTTCAGGTTTTCTGTGATGCTGATTCCCAGGAATCTAAAACTGTTCACCTGCTCCACCTCAGCTCCACTGATGTAGACAGAATTGTGTGTCTTCACGTCCTTTTTGCCTATCAACAATCAGCTCCTTTGTTTTGCTGATGTTGAGAAGTAGGTTGTTCTCTGTGGTCCATCCAGCAAGATTGTTGATTTCACAACAGAGTTGTCATGTCAGGTGTTGCAGTCATGGGCGTACAGCGTGAACAGGAGGGGAGGTGAGCGAACAGCCCGAAGGGTTATATGGACCCCCAATGTGTTTCAATTTTTTTTATTTTTTTTAATTTTTTTTTTAAACCTGTCCTGCCCAGCAGCCTGGTATAGAGTATAATGACCTGGATACCATATTGTGCCAGACAGATTTTACTTTAACAAGAGAGTATTAAAATACTCCTTTGTCTGTTTTATTATTTATTTAATTATGTATTGATTTGTCACCGGGCCGGACAGGGGGGCAGACACGGGGATGGGGGGGCACAAACAGACAGCACAGAGAAAGGACAACACCTGTAAGAGAAGGGGGAAAGGGGGATGGAGGGTGGGGACAACAGGGAAAAGCAGTGGGAAACACCAATTGCAGAAAGCAAGGAAACCTGCAATAGAACAGAGAGGGGGGCTTGGGGAGGAGAAAAACAACAACAACAAACAAACACAAACAAAAAAACAATAAAAAAAATAATAATAGTAAAAGACAACCAGCTGAACAGCAGCAATAAACAGCTGACATATTAAGACAACTAAGAGAACAATGAAAACAAGAAACAGTCACACACACTAAATAAGCAACACAGCACAGCCATGAGAGCTGGAATAATAATTAATTTAAATAAGTAACTGAAAGAAAGGCATCAGGAATAATTCTACCAGGGACAACCTAAGTTTGATTGTGTCTGTGTGTGTCTGTGTGCGTGTGGGTGAATGTGTCTGTATGTGTGTGTGTGTACATGTGTGTACGCATAAGCCTATTAAAGAATGTAGTTGTTAGTGAGAGTGGGACGCCACGACTGTAACAGGCAGGCAAGAACCCCAGTAGCCAATAGGGGTGGGAGAAAGAAAAAGAATAAATCAAATAAAAAAAACAAAAAAAACAAAGACTCCCAGATGCACTGCGATGCAAACGCAGAAGACCCCGACCCAAATGCCAGTTGGCAATGTAATGCCGACCGAACGCAAAAAGCGTAACCCGCGGAAGAGCAGCGCCCGGACCGACCGCGGCGCGCACACATGTGTTTCAATTTAAAAGCTGGGGTCAGGGTGGTGGGGTTACTTTGGGTTTTGAGAGTAAGTCAAACTCAAACTTGACTGAACAGGATAAGATAAATCAAGCCCAACACCTGTTTGTCTTTCTCAGGTTCAAGGACATGTAGTCTAACTCCAGAAGTCCGTCTCTCTACGTGATTCAGCTCGTCTGGTCACCAGCCAGTTTCATCTGGACAGCAGTCAAAATAAGATTGATCTTTGCCAGTCATGAACTTTTATTGCATGGTTGAGAGATTGTAGGGTGTTTAGTGTGGACAACTTGTCGAATTACATTAGATAAAGTAAATAAAATCAAACAGTCTGTCACCAGAAGTAGTTAACTGTATGTGTAAAGATATTACTTTTTTATCAGTATTGTTCTGTGTTTTTACAGACTTTTACAGCCATAGCTGGTGCTCTGTGTTAAGGGTTTTTAGTTTGGGCTTCTTGTTTGTATTTATCTTAAGTTTTGGCCTAAAAGCTGTTAACAGTGTTATCAGGCAGACTTTGGCATTAGAGAAATATGAATATTGCCAATTTCCTTCACACAAAGTTGAAGGAAAGTTTACTCACAAGCAATGGGAGTCTCTCTCTGCCATCAAACAGCCATGCACGGCTTGAAACAAATACAGCAGCAGATCTCTCATCTCAAATTAACTAGGACAGTGATTATTATCATACTCACTGTCCTTCTTTTACTGCTACCCATGTAGCTCTCTGATTGGCTTCACTCGCACAATAAGAATTTGACGTGACAACCAATGCCTGCGAGCAATAATACCACACAGGAGGTGGGGTGCAGGTCTTCAGCTGTGATTGGCCAGAGCACTGGTCCAAGAAGAGTTCTGTTCTGTATTTGTGTGTATGTTTGCGCGTATGTGTGTAATGGGAATACCAGCGTCAAAACAGTCTCACCAACTCATGACCTGTCTTGAACCTCACAGATGAGTGAGTTTGAGCATTGCGATGTGTGAAATGTTTACAGTATATTGACTCACACATCATACACTGACTACCACAAATGGCTGATTATCTAGTGTGTAAGCCTCACTTTGTTATATAATTGCCATATGACTGGGAAAAATCCATAATGTTTTTTAGTAGATGACCTGAAATGACTTACTACAAGAAAAACAGGACTCCAGGCTGACTCTGTCACACAGCATATGGCTGAGTTGAACAGCCAGAGGGAGTGCAGCAGCTGGGCTTGTGGACTATCCCGTCTCTATTCCAGCCCCTTGGCACCAGTTATGTGCTATGGCAATGGCGGCACATGTAGACGTAGCGGCAGCTAGCTCCTTCAAACTATTTCAGTTGACTGTTTATATTAATCTATTATTTTTTTCTGGCTTTATTGATGAAACATCATTAAATGATGTCTGATTGAATCTGAATCTGAATTTGATTTAAAGAGCTAAGAGAAAATTGTGCAAACTGACTGGTTCAGAATTTGACTAATTTTGACCAATGGCTGTCTAGATGCAGTGACCGGTAGCTCCTTCAAACTCTGCGCTACATTTTTGTGTTTCATCTGTTTACCCATGACATAAATGCAGTCATCGGAAAATTAAGCCGGGGTTTGGATTAAAGAGCAGCGGACCTTGAGGCGATCCACCCAGCCAGATCAGCCAGACCAGGCTTCATGGCAGCTGTGGTGATCGTCCCAGGAGGAGAGGAAAGAGAGCCGAGATAGCCCCCTGTTCTAATGAAGTGCTTTGAGAAAACTGCTTCTCCAGCACATAAAGAATAACATCCCAGCCAGCCTGGACCCTCACCAGTTTGCTTTCAGCACCAACAGACCCACAGAGGGTGCCATTTCCACTGTCCTCCACACAGCCCCCACACACCTTGTGAAAAACATCACCTACATCAGAATGCTGTTTGTGGATTTCAGATCAGAATTCAACACAATCTCCCCCCAGGAAACTGATTGGCAAACTTAGCACTCTGGGCTTAGGTACCACACCCTGCAACTGAATGTTGGACTCACAAATAGACCCCAGACAGGATTGTTGGCCACACGTCCTCCGCTCTAGTTCTCAACACTGGGGCCCCCAAGGGCTGTGTGCTCAGCCATGACTGCATCCCCCAACATGGAAATTACTCTGTTGTGTTTGCAGACGACACCACCATCATCGGCCAGATTTGAAACAAAGATGAGACTTCATATCGCGGGGATATGGTGAAGTGGTGCACAGAGCACAACCTATTTCTCAATGTCAGCAAAACCAAGGAGCTGGAACTACAAACTGCATCTCATTTTACAACTCTTTTGTAATATGAGAAATAAATTGACTTTGTACCTTGTACCTTGTATTCCAGTATTATAATTATATAATATATTTGTACAAACCATTAGAAACACCTCTCAATTTACACTAAGAAAAGACACATGCACTAATTAACAACATATAGTTGAATCAAGTCTCGTAGTCAAATGGATCATTAGTAGCTTCACAAAAATAGGATTTATTTTAGGACTGTTGTAATAAAATGCATTATTGCATAAGAAGTGAATAAACTGGAAACACACTGTACAGTGCATTGTACTTTGGCAGATGTAAATGGAAACACTGTTTCTTGACAACAAAAAAACAACAACAATTGTCATTATTAAAGATTGTCTCTTATTCAGTAATTTGATATGAGTCAGATGATGTATTATCTAATCATGAATCAATTTCACTTTCGATATAGTTAAATCAGAAACTATTTTAATAATCAATTAATCATTTACGTTAAGTTTTTCAAGTAAAAATGCAAAAACAAAATGCAGGTCCCATCCTCTCAAACGTGAGGATTTGATGCTGATCGTTTTCATGTTTGATAGTAAACTGAATCTTTTTGAGTTTTGGCCTAATGAATATAACCGGGCTATTTATTAAAATGTTTACTAAAATGAATGTTGAGTAGAATATGAAATATGAAAAGACAACGTCAGACTCAGTAGTTCCTCTAGGCCCTTGTCAAACCTGACCACTGATGACATGTTCGGCAGCATGTCATCATTCTACCGCTGGCTGTAGATAATTGATGGACCTTCTGGGGAAGACCTGGTCTGATTAGGAGAGATGGCATTAATCCCACTTCGGATGGAGAAGCTCTCATATCTCATATGTGCTTCCATTATCGCAGTTGCCCACCTGAAACCCCATAGTGATGGTGTCTGCCCCATAACCCCTTAAATAAATTAAATCAAGTAAAGTGAAGAAGATCTGTGCATGAAAACCTGATAAAAAAACAAAACAAAACAGGATAATAAAATGTGGACTCTTGTCTACGGATAGATATCTATGGATCTATGTCATTTTAAGCTGTACTAGTAAATGATTTAATATCAGATTACTATATTGATTTATTTTGTCTTCCTGAAACATGGCTGGCTATTCATGTGGATGTCAACAATGATAGCCTTACTACTGCGTTTATCTCACTATTAGATTCAATTGGCTTCTGTCAGTGTTCATAAACTGACTCACCGTTTTTTACAACATCCTCCTCCTTGTTCTGGCAAATGGTACTGAAACCGAACATTTAATAGTCTTTTCACAGAATCCCTTTTTATCTGACAGACATCTAATAATCCCTATTATTAGACTGTATGCCATGAGGCACAAATTCCTACACTAGATCACACTTATCTGATAGATAAATGCTGTAGCTCAATTTAAGGAAGTGATTTAATTCAATACCATGTCTCAATATAACTGAGGACTCTTCATCTAACTTCAGTCCCTCCCAAATTCATCATCTCCTTAATAGTAATGCAGGCTCTGTAAATTACACTTGACTCTGTTCCCTCTCTAAAAAAATATAATAAAACGAAGAAGGTTAGCTGCATGGCATAACCCCCAAACCTCGCAAATTAAAGCAAATGTGAAAACTTGAAAGGAAATGGCGTTCCACTAATCTGGAGGAATTGCGTTTAATCTAGCAGGTTAGTCTTAAAACATATAAGAAGGCCCTCTGTAATGCCAGAGCAGGCTAATACTCGTCATTAATAGAGAAAAAGAAGAACCACAAGTTTCTTTCAGTAGTGTAGTCAGGCTGGCAGAGTCACAGCTTTGACAGGTAAGTAAAGCTTATTTAAAAATAGCACCTTTCACAGAACAAACCTGCATTACAAGAGTAAAATAAAACAAAT